TTGCAGACCACCCTCCTGCTTTGCCACCCGCTTCCTCTGAGCCTGCCCCATCTGTAAAATGGGGGTGGATAATCACAGTGGAAAAGGATGGCTCTGGGGGAAAGTGTGAAGACAGTCAGTATTCCATGCTGTCACCACTCTCTTTACATGTCAGCTGTTGTTGTTTACATCTTCACAGGGGGAATCTTGGCTGAGATGCTGCCCTAGAACGGAAATTATTTTATGGCCTGTGCCTGGCCTAAGACACTTCAGAGGCTAGAAGAGCCTTCCCCAGTGGGCACTGTTTATTTGGCCAAGGCCTCTCCCTTCTTTAACCTCACCCAGTGCTCCCTGGCCGTGGAGAAGCCTGGCATCCAAGAGTTCTTGATATCAGAGGAAGTGCAAGTTCTTCCAGAAACACAGGGTCCTTCAGGAAATCAAACTCCAAGAGGATAAAACTACATAGCCAACAATGTTATATTTTCCTTCCTCAGTGCCTGTAATCTCAGATACTTGGGAGGCTGAGGCAGGAGGATTTCAAGTTCTATACCAGCCTGGGCAAATTAGTGAGAACTTGTTTCAGAATAAAATAAAAAGTGCTGGGGATGTATTCAGTGGTAGAGTGCTTGACTATCACATGTGAGGCTATAGGTTCAATCCCCAGTAGAGCCAAAGAAATAAAAATTTAAAAAAGACGTAATAGGGCTTCATGGAATTTTTACATTTTCCTTTACCTTCTTAAGCCAGATGGGCAGGAAGTAGGCTTCCTATTTTGCGGGTGGAGAAATAGAAGCAGAAGGCTGAGGAGGCTGCCCAGAGTCACTCTTCAAATCCAGAGAAGGGACTTGGAGTCATAGGCCAATTCTCCCATACTCTAAGCTCTCATTCAGCCTCCGTCTCTCTGTAGGAAGTTCTCGGCACCAGGAGCAAACAAGTATGCAACTAATTATAAAGAGATATTTGGACTCAATTTCTATTTAAAAATATTTTTCAACCTGTGTGTGTGTGTGTGGGTGTGTGTGGTTGTGGTGTGGTTAAGCACATGACATATTTAACTACTTAACAGTTTACCCTAAACGTCACTCGGGCAGCATGTTTGTTTTGTACTATCCCAGCACCGCTTGGGAAGGTATCATTTCAACTGGTCAATTCTCGTAGTGAATAAACTTGATAAAATTGTCATTTTTATACTTCCTGTTTTATTATCTTACAAAAATTAATGAAAAAATATTCAATTTTTGGTCATCCTACATTTAAATACTTGGACTGGTCAGTGGTTAAGCCCTGGCACAAGTTAGGCTGATCTTTGTCACAAAAATCATATTTGGTCTAACTTCTTTTCTTGGCCTGAGGTCATATGTTAATTTGTTGGTTCCCCTTAATTAGTTTATCTTTTGGAGAGATAGGATTCAAAATTTTCAGTGTTTTTCCAGGCCTAAGTATGGTACTTGATTAATTCTCCAGGACTACTACTGGATATGGCAACAGAGGGCAGAGAGCAGTTTGCCCAGTGCAGTGTGGTAAGAAGGCCTGAGGATTCCTGAAAAAACCCCACTGTGACATCTACTGTACTTTCTCTTTTGAACTTCAGTAGCTTTCTTTCATAACTGAAGACAGTAATGGCTCAAGGATTTAGCCTTATGCCTGGCACATATTAAGGACTCACTTGATATTTGGGGAAAGAATTAATATCTATCTCATTCGGCTAAAATGAGGATTATGGAAGATAATGAATGTCAAATATTTTCCATAGAATTTAGCAAATAATTGTTAATAAAAGTAACTGTTCTCAAGTATTTGTTCATGACTAGTATTTGGAAAAAATGCATGCATGTAGAATGCTACAGTGGGTGAGAACTCAAAAAGGCTGAATTTAAGTCCAAGTCCCGTAATTTTTCAATTTGTACCAGTGATAAATTTAATTGTGTGAGTGTGTGTGTGTACATGCACTGTGCTAGGGATTGAACCTAGGGCCTCAAGCATGCTAGGCAGTCACTTTTACCACTAAATTACATTCTCATTTTAATATAAGAAAAGCTACTGGATTTAAGATTTAAGAAATTCAGATGTAAGGCCTGGTTCTGCTGTGGACTAGCTGTGTGACCTTGGATGAGTAACTTTATTTCTCCGAACTTGTTTCTTCATCTGCAAAGCAAAGCCATCGAGTCATGATTGATTCTGTTCTCTAGCCCTAACAGCCTGTGAGTTGAAGATGTAGTTTCATAAGGCAGGGCAGGCCTGGCCACACTTTTCAGCTCTGACTCTGACAGCTGGATAGTATGAAGCAGTTATTCATCCCCAAAGAGCCCTGCTACCCCTACAAGTTGTATAGGGTCTAGCTCACCTCTACCTCCAATTATAAAAACATCATAGGAAAAAAAAATGACTAAGCCCAGTGTGGTGGCACATGCCTGTAATCCGTGCACTCTGGGAGGCTGAGGCAGCACTATAAAGCTGAACTCAGCCTGTGTAACTTAGCAACTATTAAGTTATTAGGTTGCATTAGCAATCCTGTTTTTAAAAAAGTATATATATACACACACACACATATGTATACACTATATATGTATACACACACACACACACACACACACACACATGATGTACCTCAGTGCAAAGACCCTGGCTTCGATCCCCAGTACCCTCCCCAAAAAGAATGACTAACAGTGACAATTATGTGCCCTAGTAACAAAATCCAGAGAGGGTCTAGTGTAAGTAATATTGTCAGGGAATATTTATCAATATAAAAAAACAGTACAATAAATAAAGAAGTAAATAAAAAATAAAATATAGTACAGGGTTGGGGATGTAGCTCAGTGGCACTGAGCCTGCCTGGCAAGTGCAAGGTCCTGAGTTCAATCCCTGATACGGGAAAAAAAAAACAGTGCAACAGCAATGTTATAATTTGCCTGCAGATTAAGGGTATATATAATGTAATGATGTAAAATCCTGCTTAAATTCACTGGCATCCCTTTACTCATTCCCTTCCTCCCTTCCTCTTTGGAAGCACTGGCCTAAGTGTGCGTAATTAACATAGTGCTTTGGCTAACACTGTCTCACTTGACACTTCACAAGAGCTCAGGGTCAGAGCAAGCAAGCCAGGCATTATTTACCCCCAGTCTTCCACCGGGAGAGGGGTCCCAGGGCAGTGTGGAGAGCTGGAGGCCTGGAGGCGTGATGGAAAAGTTGGAATTGGATGCACATTACCAGTTATCTCCATCAGTACTTTCCCCAGCGCTCCTGGTTCCAATTCTGCAGCCCACTCTTGCTGGCTGGTGCAATTCCAAGCACTTTCAGTCAACTGCCCCTCCATCCATCAGGTCGGGTATCTAACCCCTGCTTTGGAGATGGCCAACATTCCAGGCCGTTGGGTCTTGAGCAGGTGGATCGCACGCAGCCTGTCAGAGGCCAGGACTGCTCCAGTGACCTGTGGGACCCCCTGTTGTACTGCTGTGCATGAACACGGAGGGGTCTTGTGAGACTCGCAGATTTCTGGGTCCAATCCCAGACTGGCTGATTCATAATAGTTTGGGGTCTCGGTTCAAGGAAATTTTCCCTTATCACTCACGCGAAAATAGCTGGTCTGATTTAACTTATTACCGCAGTAATTACTGTTTTCCTAGATACTGGACAAAGCTTTGTTTAGCAGTTGTTTATTGTCTCCTTCCCCACCTTAGGATAGAATGTACTTTCCACAAGGATAGATATTTGTTAGTTGGGCTTGTTGACAAATCCGTTTCCTAGAACCTTGCAGGCCTCCACAGCACGAAGTAAGCAAATATTTGTTGAATTAAATGTCCACCAAAAGTTTGACACCACTGTCACACCAGGCTCCCTCACTTTACAAAGGAGAAAAGGAGGTCCACGGAGATAGAACGGACTGTGGCAGAGCCGGGAAGGGGCAGGGCCGGGGCAAAAAATCTGTCTTCGGGGAATCCCAATGGCGTGTTGGTTCCACTCTGTCCAAAGCAGTTCTTTAGAAAAAAACAAAATTCACATTTCTCAGACACTCGGGTTCGTGGCCAGGGTGAGGGCGACAGGCAATTCTGTTCCCACTTGGGGGGCGCCCGCTGCCGCCTAGGGTCAGGCTCGCCTTCCCGGCTGGCCCGGAATCGAACCCCAGCCCGGGAGGTGAGGCGGCAGGCCCAAGGTCACCCGGGCGGGGCCTGGAGGGGGCCAGGCCCTCTGGGCACCGGACAGGAGGCGGTGTCGGCGCGTCTTCGGAGCGGATCAGGACCACTCTTTAGCTGCTGGGAGTCGAGGGTGCTCCTAACTACTCCTTCCCGGGTCCGGCGCGAACACCCAAGAGCGCCAGCCGGCCCTGCCGGCCGCGTGGCCCATTCCCATGTGCTCCACCTGCGCTGGTTCTCAGGCGCTGGCCCTTTAAGGCACCTCCCCCTCCCCCGGCCCTACCCCTGCCGCCCGCTCTCCTCGCTCGCTCGCTCCCTCCCTCTCGAATTGCATCAGGCACGTGCTCGCCCCCGTCCGGTCTGGCCACCCCCACCCCCAGCCCGGGAGGTGCTCGCGGGAAGGGCAGGCAGGGGCGGGGAGAAGGGCGGGGCCTCAGGGGCCTGCGCGCGCGCTCCCGCCGCCTCCGCCCGCCGCCCGTCGCCCAGGGCCGGCCCGGCGGGCGCGCCCCCGCTGCGCCGTCCCCTCCCCTCCTCGCCGCGTCGAGAGGCGCGCGCCCGCCCGCCGCCTGCCGCCGGCGGGCGCGCCCCCGCTGCGCCGTCCCCTCCCCTCCTCGCCGCGTCGAGAGGCGCGCGCCCGCCCGCCGCCTGCCGCGGATCGCGTGGTCGGCTCCGTTCGCCGCGCCTCTCCCCCGTCCGTCCATATTGCTGCAGCCCCCGAGCTGGGAAGCCCGGGCCGCCCCGGGGGCGGGGGGGAGGCAGGGCCGGGACGAGAGGCCTGGCAGCCCGCTCGGGGTGGGGGCGCCGCGCGAGCAGCGGGCGCGGGGGGGGACGCGCGCCGAGGAGGCCTGGACCGCAGAGTGGGGGGCCCTCCTGCCCCCCCCGCCCCGGCACTGGGCCTCGGCGCTCCCGCGGCTGCCTGCGACCGGCCAGGGGGCCGCGCCTAGCGGGAGCCCGGACCCTCCTCCGCGGGGACTGGGGCCCGGCGCCCCGGCGGAAGGCGTCGCGGGCGCTCTGCGAGCCAAGTTCGAGGCGGGGGAGGCCGCCTCGGGCGGGCCCGGCTTCTCCGGGGGGGCGGGCGCGCAAATGGCCACTCAGGTGGAGCCGCTGCTGCCGGGGGGCGCCCCGCTCTTGCAGGCCGAAGAGCACGGGGGGCTGGTGAGGAAGAAGCCGCCGCCGGCGCCCGAAGGCAAGGGCGAGCCTGGGGCGAACGACGTCGGCGGGGGGGAGCCGGACGGCGGCGCCCGGAGACCTCGGCCGCCCTGTGGCAGGCCGCACCGGGAGGGCACCGGGCCGCCGGAGCGCGAGAGCCCGCGGCTGCCGCAGCCACAGCCATCCGGCGCCGAGGGCCCGGCGGGCAGCGACGGAGAGGAGGGCGGCGGCGAGCCGGGAGCGGGCGCCGGGCGCCGAGACTTCGTGGAAGCTCCGCCGCCCAAGGTGAACCCGTGGACGAAGAACGCGCTGCCGCCGGGCCTGGCCGCGGTGAACGGACAGCCCCCTCCAGGTGGGTCTCGGCGTCCGCGGCCTCTTCCGGGCCCTCGTCCCCTCCCCCAGCGGCCTCGGCCGGGGTCGGCCGGGTCGGACCCGGGTGGCGGTGACTCGGGGATTTTTCGTCGTCGCCTGGCTGGCGGGGGTCGCCTTGCCCGCCCCCCGGCGTCCTCCGGGACTCTCCCCGGCCTGAGGACTCGGCTTGCGCGGCCGCAGGCTGGGCCGAGCGGTTAGTGGGCAACAGCGTGGTTCGGGCCTACCTCGCCGGGAGCGGTGGGCGCCGGCCGCAGTCCCGACGGCGCGCCGGGCTCGGGAGGGAGCCCGTGGCCCAGGCCACCCCTCGCTCCCGCTGTGGCGGCCTCGCGAGCGTCCCCGTGTTGTAAATGTTTAGTGAGCGTGTGTCTCGGGCGGGCGGCGCGGCGCCGGGCGCGGAGTTGCTGCCAACCGCACGGCTTCAGGATTTAAACTTGGCAAGTTTTGTTGCCGAGTCGGTGCGGGGCCGTAGGCTCGCCATTTGGAGGCCGGTGGAGGCTCAGTGGCGGGGAGAGGGGAGCCAAAGGAAATCCCGCGTGTCTCTGAATCCGGTGGTTTCCTTCTCTGTTCTCGCTGTCTTCCGCCCAGGGAGGGAGCCCGCCCTGGGCCGAGTGTGCTGGGGGAGGCGGCGAGGGGCCGCGGCGCTTGGGGCGAGGGGCGTGTGCGGCGGTGGGAGTGGCCGGCGGCCGGGCGGGTGACAGTTGGGCGCCGTGCGGGCGGCGTTCGGCGCGGTCGCCGCGGTGAGCGGGCGGCGGGTGCGGCCCGGTGCCACCCCGCGCGGGGAGCCGCGTGTGGCCGCCGGCGGGTCGCCCCGAGCCCGCCGCCCCCGCTGCGTTCTGGGGTCTGTTCGGCCCTGCCCTTCGGGGGAGGCGAGGGTGAGGAAAATCTCAGCAGAGCCGTGTCAGCGTTGCGGGCGAGGCAGCGCAGAACATGGAGGCTGCTCTCGGCCTCTGACCAGAAAAGGTGGTAGGGCCAGGTGGGGACGCACCCTCGGGCCTCGCCTGGGCAATGCGTAGTTTAGGGCACGGCCGATCTAGATTCCTCGATGTTGGTCCTTTTGAAGTGGGCCATTGTTAAAACTGGCTTGTAGCTAGAATGTTGGTCTCTGGTCTTAGCCCTAGTGCTTTTTCAAAACTCCTCCCCTTCTGCAGTAGTTGTTGAGGCTTAGTTTAAACGGTTAGAATAGGGAACAGCGTTGAAGGGGGAGCTTAATGCCTTTACCTTCAAGAAGTCGCCTCTTAGTCCTAGGGAAATCAGGGTAGCTATTCCTGAAAACGGCATGTTGCCGTTCTTATTTTTCGGGTTGCTTTAATTGCAGGAGGGGATATTTTGAGTATAGGAATGGTACCACAAACTGTTCTTTTACTCCGCTCCCTACCCCCTTTCGGAACTCCCCCCACCCGCTTTCAGAACCTTCTTATGCAAAGGACGGTGCTGAAACTTCCATTTTCTTTCAAATTTCTCCTATCCACCCACGAAGTAAGGGAAAACAACTTTAAGGCACTCTTTGGTCCTTGCCCCCTCTTTAAACTCAGAGGTATAATCATCACCAGGAGAGAGCACTCCTCAGAAGTTTAAATGGGTCTACTCATGTTGGCTGCTGCTGCTTAGCTAATGGTGAACCTGCTTTGTGGGTTTTAAATCAGCCATGACATCAGGTGGTATTGGGTGCCCGAGCCTGCGTTTTTGTCTAAGTCCAGGGGCCCTTGATAGCTTGCGTCACTGGGCTTATTGATCGTGGGAAGAAGACAGCTTGGCTGGCATCTTGCCTTTACCTCTGAGCGTGTAAGCTGACTTGCTTTAGGTGTCCAAAGCAGGAGATTTGCTCTGTTCTTGTTTTTCTGGAATCTGAGGCAAGAGAGTAGCTACTCGTTGGCTTACAGTCTTTGGAGTAGTTTTTGACAGACTACCTGAGATAATCCAGTAGCTTCTGTGTTTAATCCTGTTATTTGGGCTTGGATGCTTCCTGAGGGAGAATTCTGTGATTTGGTTCTCTGTCTAGTAAGGTTAGGTGGTGGCCTTTTCTGAGGAGCCAACATGGATCTCTAAGGCCCTTTTCCAGCCCTAGTTTTATCTGTTGCTTGGAAAAGTTTGTATGTGACACCAGGGGAGTGGCTGTGTGGTCTTGGGAATTTTTGTGTTCTGTGATGCATATGCTTTTGGGAGTCTACTGAAATGAGTGCCTCATAAGCAAGCTAAAAGCTTTCCAAAGCTTGCTGCAAATGCCTATTTTTAGCTCTCCTTTTGGCTCAGATGCTGGTGTTTTAGTTCTTTAAGGGACACAGGCAGTAACTAGTAATAAAAATTTGCTTTACAGTCTCTCCCCTTTCTTGTGGGGTTCTCTATTCTGGTTTAAGCTTGTACAACCTAAGTTTGTAGTTTTAAGTCTTGAGCATTTTGGCTTTTGGGGGTTCCCTTTATGCCTAGAGTATTCTGAAAATGTTTAAAATTTTTTCCTTATTCCAGCCACACCCCTCAAAGTCCAAAGTGCCTAAGTTAAAAGAAGAAATGATCTGTAGCGGTGGTGGCAAACCTATGGCACCCATACCAAAGACGGCTGTTCATTATCCTTGAAAGCTCTGTCTGAAAGGTTCGCCATCACTGATAATGTAGCAGCGGCGGGGTATCAAACTGCTTTCGAATGCTTGCCCTACCACTTGTTAGCTGTGCCTCCTTGTGTGAGTCACTTAGCCATTCTGTGTCTCGCTTGTGTAGTAGGAATTAATTTATGATGTACTTGCCCCTGGGGCCATTGTGAGGTTTCCCTGTGGTGATTCATGTACAAGACTTAGCCCATGCCCAGCATGTGGTAGCTGTTAGGGTGTCTAGGAGAATGTGGGGCTTCCTGGGACCTTTCTCTTTTTTCTACACCTGTAAAATGAGGGAGCTGGAGAATGTAGACCTTTCCTCTTGTGTCGTATCAGTACCCCTGAAATAAGTGGGATCTCTCCTTAAAAACTTCACTTGTCTGCAGACATGAGGGGCTTGTGGGGGTAACCTTAAAGGTTGATGATCAAAGAATTGACTACTTTTGCTTTTTTTCTTCTTTTTTTTTTTTTTTTACTTTTGCTTTCTGTTAGTATTTTAATTTGTCTTGTACAGATACTATTGGGGGAGTGCACGTGTGTTTCACGGGGGAAAGGACAGCCTAAATGAATGAAAATCTGGCTGATGTACATGCCTTGCCACTAGGGGTAACCAGTAGGTTTGTTGTGTACAGTACAGCTGTACGCACACCTCTAACTTGGTGTAGTAAGAAAACTAGTGGCAATTGGGACAAGGTTCAAGGCTTAAGTTTATGCCTTGGGCATATTTTTTGGTGTTTTTTTCTTTTTTTTTTTTTTTGTCCTTTTGAAGTGCAACTGATTTCACAAAATAAAAAAAAATTAATCATTTTAAAAACCTGACCCATAGTACACTAGAGATCCTCTGACATGCTGAGAGGGCTCCAAGTAAACCTCTTCTGCTTTCCTTCCTGGATATGGACCCTTCAGCAGATTCCTTGGCTGTCCTAGGTGTGTGTTGATGTGGATCTGGGGCATCCTTGTGACCTCGTGCTGTCAGCTGCTTCAGACCCTGCCCGTCTTTCCTCAGTGCAGGAAAGTAGACTGGGTTGAAGGAGGAATTTAGGCTGTACTTTTGAGTCCTAGCCCTGCTGCATATTTAAACTGAGCCTTTCTGAACCACTGAGGATGAAACTGAGCCTGTCATCCTCACAGTGAGATTAACAATAGTAGCTGTTTCAGAGTACTGTGAGAATTAAAGTTGATAATGTTTGTAAGACTCTCGTTGAAGTGCCAGGCACAAAGGGAACACTTAATCTTAATAAGTGCTGCCCATCTGTAATTTTCATTTAAAATTTTTTGTAATGAACAGTTAACATAAATGTTAATTCTATTTTTGATCATGCTCCTGGCCAGCAAGGTGACACCACTACCTGTGCTTTCTTTGCCTCTGTTTCTTCATCTGCAAAATGAAAGAATTGAATTAGGTTGAATGTCAGAAAGGGTTGTTTTAGTATCAAAATCATTTTCTGCTCCCGTCAACCCCCCTCCTCAGAAAAGAAAGAAACTAGAATAGAGCCTTATATTGTTGTTTCCTACGTTTGCCATTGTGATGATGAACTCTTATTTTGAGTCCAAGCTCTGAGAGGTGGAGAAATGCTTTTGGCCTCAGGAAACTTAATGGCTTTGGGTGTGTAGTGGACTATGGTGTACAGGCACTATGCGTCTTACAGGGTGATGATGAGCAGCGCACACCACTGCTGAGGACATTTCTCCCACCAGATACTGTACCCAACACTAATAAAACTAGATCTAACTGCCAGTGTATAAGGAAAATGGGAATAGAGGAACAAATTAATTGACTGTGAGGTAGCAGTTAGCCAGTTTCTAAATGTGAAAAATTCTGTAAGGTGTTTTTTTCAGTTTAAAAATGGCATTTTAAAAATGGAAAGTTGTTATAGATAAAAAGAGATGAAACCAATCAAATTGTATTATTATGGATCTTACCTGGATTCTGATTTGAACGAACTGGGCTATAAGAAGATATTCTGGTGACAGTTGAGAAAATTTGAGCATTTTAGATTATATTAAGGAATTCTCTTATTTTGTCAGAGCAGTAATGATATAATCTTCTTTGTGTGTGCTGTGTGCAGGACTAGGTATTTCTTTTTTTTTTGTACTGGGGATCAAACTCGGGACCTTGTGCTTGCAAGGCAGGTACAGCGCCACTGAGCTACGTCCCCGGGCCCTGTGTGCAGTACTAGGGATTGAACTGAGACCTTTCTCCTGAACTATATCCTGTGTATATTATTTATTTATTTACTTCTATTTTGAGACAGGGTCTTGCTAATTTGCTTGGGCTGGGTGGAACTTGCCATCTTCCTGCCTCAGCCTCCCACAGTGCTAGGATTACAGGACTATGTCACTTGGCTTGTTCATTTTTTTGTTGTTGGTTTTTAGTTATTAGTACACATACGCA